AACAGACACCGTGAAGACAGATGATGATGATTTTCACGCTGATGCGGCCGATGCTCATCGCAGTGCTGTTGGTAGTGTCCCTCTGCTGTGTGATGAGTCTCAGTGTATATGGTAGGGTCTCTATCTCGGAGCAGCAGTAGTGCCGTGGCTGGGAAGAAGCAAGTCGGTGGGTATATATTGGACCAGAGGATAGGCAGGGGGAGCTATGCCCAGGTATGAGCAGTCGTTCTGAGGGAAGCGACACTGCTTGCTAGGTCTGGCGGGGACATATGATATCTCATCCGGATAAGTTAGTGGCAGTGAAGGTTATCAATAGAGGTACAGTGCAGGAGACTAGTCAGTTGAGGCAGGAGGTGGGTCTAGAGTTGCATCACAGAGGCTCGGGTCATGGGTCACCTTCAGGTCAGCGCTCTCAGGAAGCTGCGACATGAGAATATTGTGCGTTTCATAGACCTTCGTAAATCCCAAGGACACTTCTACTTGGTGCTTGAATACTGTGAGGGTGGGGATTTGGCCCAGTTCATGCAGGCTAGAGGAGGCAAGCTTGAGTAGGCTCTGCTGTTCTACAACAATGGTGTACTCCATCGTACAGGCCATCACTAGCCCGTCGGTTCTTCGCACAGATTTGCTCTGGCTTATCGTCTCTCCATCTACAGCCATCACCACTCATACACAGGGACATCAAGCCGCAGAATGTGCTGCTTTCATATAGCTATCTCTCCTCGGCCGAAAGTGAGCTGGCATCCGTCGCGGCGTCACACCGAAAGAGATGGAATTCCTCCGTGACTCCGTTCAGGCTCACCGGCGAGCTCAATTTCTTCTGGTCCAAGTGCGATAAGTGATGAGATGTACATCCTCAAGTTGGCAGACTTTGGCTTTGCAAGGTATGTTTCTATCAACAACGGTCGTAAGCACGCATTGTTATTACAGGTCGCTGCAGCCAACTGACATGGCGGCCACTGTGTGTGGCAGCCCGATGTATATGGCACCAGAAATACTTAGACATGAACGGTGAGAGACGTCGGACTACTCGGAATGGTGCTCGGCGTAGTTCGAGAGTTCGATCTGCATCCCAAAAGGGTTGATGATGCACCCAAAAGCAATTTTGTGAAAAACGATTTTGTGCAAAAAATGACCCCGGCCCGATTCGAACGGACAACCTTCTGATCTGGAGTCAGATGCGCTACCGTTGCGCCACAGGGCCCGATGTTGGTTGATGTCCCACAGTAATCTCCCTCACCCCATAGATACGATTATCGTGCTGACCTCTGGTCTATAGCCTGCATTCTGTATGAGATGCTCCATGGGTATCCACCATATCCAGGCGCTCAGAGTACTATTGAATTGTTGAAGCGCATCGAGAGCGGTCCGCCAATCACGTATGGGGACATTTGCTCGGCCTCATGCCTTGACCTGCTGAAACGAGTGTTGGTCAAAGATCCAGAGCGCAGGATGGAGGCTGAGCTCTTCTATAAGCATCCATACGTCGTAGGTCTACATCTACTATGGACATTCTTGTCAAGCGGTCCGTTAGATACATCAAAACGAAGATGATACCCCAACTTTCGGGCGGAAAAACTCACCTTCCTCTTCCTCTGCCAAGAGCCTTGGAATGGGCAGGCCGGCGCCGGCGAAAGTGAGACGAATCCAACTCTACTCTATGTGGCACTCCAACTCTTTTATTCGTTTTCATATCAACATCCGGTTATGGAATATACCAGAATGGTGCCTCGGTAGATCCGCCAACCTACCGATGATCGAGCACGTGAGCACAATCCCGTCCGATCAAGCTCAAGCATGGGCCTTTCTGACCGCTCCCAGGAACAGCCGCATTCCATGGAGATGGTAAGCCTCATAGTTGATGATGGGCTAGCTGCTCTTTGCCTTAGAGTGGCCAATCAACTCGAACAGGAAAGAAAACACGTGCCGACAGTCCCCTCCTGGTCCCCAATGTATCTCTTGCGGAAAATGTACAAGATATAGTCTGTGGAGCTGAGGTGTTTCAAGAAGATGCTACTCTGGGAGTACGCAAGTCCAGGCTCATTCGGGCTCATCGAACTCTGTGTTCAGGACACATCGGATGACACATCTGAAGGAGAGTTCGTGATGATAACCGAAGTTACAGACCCAAAGCAGTAAGATCGTGGAGCATCGCTGTTAGTGTCTAGATGGCAGTCAGATATCTCGACAAAGGTGGAGGGGAACATCCCATGAGCTCTCAAGATCAGCTTGTCACTCTACCCGACCGACGGACGTATGCCTCCAGAGCGATGTCATTCGGCTCGCAGGTGTGGTCGGGACCGCGAGCTCGTATCGTTCCTCTGAGTTCCTGTCAGGAAGAGTCTGGTGCGGATTCCTCTCGAGTACCGACACCTACTGGTCGTCTGAGCTGTGGGAGGACCACATGGAGTGGTATCAGCGGCAGTGAGTCGACCTTGAATGGTGAGCTATGGTCATATCGGAGTTAAGGTAGCATGAGCCGGTCCTCGACGTCCCCTGCTGTCACCAAGTATGCTACTGATATCTGCCGGGTGGTCACTGAGGTACTCTTGTGACTATGGAGGAGCTGATGGTGATGGCCCTTGGTGTCGGGTTAGGTAAAGCGGATTGCAATGCGGGTTGCTGGCGTCCAAACCGACGACCTGGGCTTTGGTACGGTCTTCCGCAAGGATCGTCTCGGTAACCGCCGTCGGTATGGATCGCAAACACCAGGTAGATCAAAACAGTTGGCTTCAGCGTCGTCTTACTGTCACAGGTTGGAAGCAGCTGGAGGAGTACCGCGAGGATCTCTGTGACGCCTTAGCCGTCCTTGATCGATCAGAGCGGTGCGTTGAGTCCGGTCTCGAACCTGATTAGCAGGTGGTCATCAGATACGCAGAGTTGGCCTTGGAAGTGGCTGACCCAGACATGGCTACCAATCTTGAACGAGAGTGTGCGCACAGTGAAGAATTGAGGAAGGACTTGATCGCTCGTCTTGAGGGTGTCCATCCTGGAGAGGAGGAGGTCAGTGCATTAGTCTGGCCCAGCTGGTCTCGATGGTCCTATCAGTTGCCGATAGCCAGACCTGGTCGAAGGATCCTGTTGCAAGCGTTGGACCTCGGACGGTCGGCTGCTGCCGAGGTATGGTGGTGCTGTGGTTCGAGAGGTGAACTGAGTGTTCGCAGGTGGCCTTAGGGAACTCTCCTCAAGCATATAGTAGGGCCAGTCTGGCAGTCATATTGATCGATAGACTCCTTGCTGACATCGAGGAAGGGACAGAGAGGTGTCGCCCTCCTCATCCTATCAAGCATGCTTCACACTGGTCGTCGTCTTAGGTTCGAATCGGCGGTGTCCTTGAGTATGTATCGTGTGCCTGTCGCTCGCCTGGTGGAACAACTACGAGCTATGAGTGGGTCGAGGAGGAGGTCGTCTATGACAGGTTCATGTGGGGCTCGGACACCTCCTATGGTGACTACCCCTACCTGATACCGTACCATTCTCGCCATTCACCCCAATTGAAGTTTATGTGTTTTTTCTCTTGTCGTGTTTTGTTATTTGTACCCTCCTCCTCCTTCTCGAGTCAATCATCACTGTCACAAGCATTGCTGTACGGGGAGCTGCTGAGACCTCCGACTGTGGATAAGGAAACATGTGTGTGCATCTGCTGCTAGGCATCATTGTTGTCTATAACGGTGAAACATACAATAGCCGATTTCCGCACACAACGAAGAGAACATAGAATCGATTTCACTAACGTGTGCGACGTGGAAGAGTGCATTAAGCATATGATGCAATAAGCGGATAGAAGCATATCTATAGTGCTACCCGAGCTGCTGACGTAGGGTATGACGATGTATACAACATGGTGATACACCGAATAACAAGTTATTGATTGGAACCTCCCTGTAGCGTGAGCCATGTGTTTGAGATGAGGTATGGTCAATGAGACCTCGTCGCTACTATGACTGACATCCAGAGCTCAAGAGATGGTTGCTCTTACGACCTACCATGCTGATGAGGCTCCCGCCTTCTTTCTCCTGCCAGTTTTCCAACTCGACCGTTGAGCCCTTCGAACGGCCGACTCTGTAGGGTCTAATGCCTACTCGTCTTCGAGTCCTTGGACGCCGTCCTTTGCCAGCAGCAGCAGCAACGACATCATAAGACTTTCCGGTATCATCAACTGTCACCAGAGGAGGCTCACCTGATGCAAGGCTGCTCCTCCTACCAGTTTGACGAGTACTTCATATACTGCGTTACGAATCTTGGGACTAGGGGTTGATCGTGCATGGTCGTCACGTGCTTCGCTCCGCTGAATTTTTGGAAAATCTGTAGCATTTTTTACGACACCTCTTCACTTGGATTGTTCCTTGTACATCGTGTTGCGTTGTGAGTCGGATTGGATGGATATTTCGCTGTAGACGTAGGTTGTACTTCCCTATGAGTGACAGCTCTGACTCGGAGTTCTCAGTGGATGACACTCTGGTAGGAGAGGAATGCCTCTGAGGGCGAGCCTTAACTGAGGTTCAATTAGGCCCAGACCCAGCATGTTGGACAGGAGGAGGAGGAAGAAGGGGACTCGATGGGAGAGGATGCCCCTATGGAGGATGTTGGGGAAGCTGATGTTAAGAGTGATGATGATAAAGATGCCAGTGATGATGACGACTCGGACTTGTTCGGCTCTGATACGAGTACTAACGGGGCTGTTGGAGCTGTTGATAACGGGGCTGTTGATTCGTGATGCTGTATTCAATTCGAAATTGTATCTACTAGTCAGTGAAGGTTGGTAGTGGTGATGGGCATGTGATGAAAAGGCCCTGTATAAGTCAATTTCAGTTCATTCGATAGGGTAAGGTCAGTTGACTCGTATTTAGGCTCGTCTCAGTCTGGAAGCGAAGCTGGTGGTGACGAAGCTAAAGGTAGGATTCTCGTATGTGGATCTTGTTATTGGACTCATCAGATGATGAGTTGTTCGAGGAGAAGGTCGCAATGGAAGAGGATGCGGATCTAGAGTAGTAGAGGGGCTCCTGGGGTCATCGACATGCCATACTGTGTGCTTTTGATTTGCGGATAAGGGGGACCGCTCGCTGGTGTTGTGGTCTGATATACCTCCACCTTGTGTCAGTGACGATGACGATGTGGAGGACGAGATTGTCCAGGACGACTCCTGGGCAGTGGCTGATGCGTATTTCAAAGACAAAGGTACGGCTTCCGCTCCAGCTGATGATGGGGATCTCAACGATCAGGTCTGGTATCACAGCAAGTGGGCTCATTCGACGACTTCGTGACCTATAAGATGCAGGAGATCGTGGATGAATGCCCCCCTATCACCATCATACCACAGAACCAGGTGGGTCATGGGTTCTGTGGTTGCTAGCCTGCTTGCCGCCTCAACGGTCTGTCTCAGTATGATCCTAATACCTCTAAGCAGCAGCAGATGCAGCAGAATGTTGGATATGTGTATGAGCTGAGTAGGTTGGGAAAGTGAAGGGGCGAGGGTATATATGGACTCCTCTTTCCTTGTAGAGTTTGGCCAGCTATCGTTGAACAAGCCCACAGTGGAGGAGGTGGATGGAGCTATGACCAGTCTGACCCCTAATCAAGCGCGGCTGAGGAACCTCACGTACAGCAGTCCGGTAATGTTCGGTCGTCGCAAGGGTTTGACTTGGTTGCTTGCGAGCTTCTTGGGGGGGAAGTGGGATTAGGCTTATGCGTTGCGGAAAACACTGACAGGAGCTCTCCCACCCTTCGTAATCTCGAATGGAGGCTCTTGTAGGAGATGGCAGTTTTTTAGATATAGCGTTCTTCACCGTTAGATTGTTGATATATTCCGGGTTGGTGATGCTGATGCGGCTCTTAGGTTTATGTCAATGTAACGCAGACAACCTACGCCTTAGCGGATCCGGATGATCCCAACTCTGAGAAGCAACTGGTAGTGTCCTTGGGTCCACTTGGTTATGTGAACACCATCGCTCCCTTTGGACCAGTGTGTTGGTAGATATCCGAGGACTCGTACAGTAAAATTCTCATTGGGCGGATACCGATGATGCTGAAGTCGGAGTACTGTTGGCTTAAGAACCAGACGGAGCGAGGCTTGGTCGAGATGGGAGAGTGCGTGTTCGATCAGGGAGGGTAGTGTGTGGGGGTCTCAGGGCGTTTAGGGTAGTGGGCCCATACAGGTACTTTATCATCAACGGGTCAGAGAAAGTGCTAATTGCGATGGAGAGGATGGCCAATAACTTTGTGTATTGCTTCCAGAAGAAGCAGCCAGCGAAGTATACGTGGATATGTGA